TAGGGCTTATATTACATCCTGAGAAATCATACTAGGGCTTAATTTCATGGTAGATCTTATTTTAGGAGAAACAGGGTAGAAGAGAAAGTGTTACAGCAAAGAAGCCTGCATGCAGCCTAAAAATGTTATGGAGAAGAATCCGTAGACACGGCAGTGGGCCTCACCACATGCAATTTCATCCTCAATGGCCTCTACGGTAATGGAGATGTAATATTCGTATTTGTATACAAATATTCTGGACCCAGGTGGCCGAGATCCACAGTCCCACCTCCCTGAACCAACTTGTCCATTTCTGGTTCACTGCACAGTGCAGACAACCAACATCCTGCTCGTCGCACCAATCTTGGACGAAGCCCGGCTGGCGCTCCTCCACCTTCCTGCTCTTCTGGCCACTCCAGCCAGGGGGCAGGATGATGACTCTCCCCGCTCAGCTGCTGAGCCGCCAGAAGAGCAGGAAGGCAGAGAAACGCCAGACAGGCTTTGTCTGAGATTGGCACAACAAGCAGGACACTGACCGTGTGCACTGTGCGGCAACCCATAAGCGGACGAGTTGGTTCAGGGAGGCAGGACTAGTAATCCCAGCCACCTGGGTTCAGGGTATACAAATACATATACAAATGCAAATATCCCATCTCTAGCCCCTAGTTTTCTGGGAAAAAAGAAGGCCATGGAAAGGAATAAACTTTGAATCTTCATTTTGAAAGTAACATAAGCCCCTTGTAATCCTAACTGGTCTTTATCACTTGTTTAGGGCTCTATCCAGTGCAAGACCTGTGGCCTTAGGGTTGCAAAGGGGCTGCTGCATTTTCAAATGGCAGATTCAAAGTGTATTGGTTTTCATTACCTTTCTTGTTTCCAGCAAAACTAGGATTTCACCATTCAGGGTGAAATCTACCATGTGATGGGCCCTGCTGTGACTTTTGTTACCTTTTTCCTGTTACGTCTTTACATTATGCTTAGCAAAGACTTATTTAAAACTCAAAAACGTGTGCCAAAAGTTTTATGCCTTTTTGGTTGGCCTAATCAAGGTATCACAACACAATTAAAATGACACTTGTTAAGAGTGAGGAAAGAAGAATCCAAACAAAGTTTGACTTTGCAGGAAACAAACCTCTGGAAGAACAAGCTAAATGATGCAACAGTTACACCTAAGGCATTCTTTCTTCCCCATCAGCCACTTGCTTGCGTCTCAGAGTTGTTGTTTGCTTTACATTAAGCAACAGCAAAGGAGTGGAAAATCCACACAAACAACTTTGGTGCCTGTCAAAGCAGGCAAGGGGAAAAAGGGATCCTAATCAGGTTTAAAAATTGGCTCATATATTAGAGTAAGGAAGAGCCTTATCTAGCTGTAACAATTTCCCTCTTCTAAATTGACAACAGTCATATGTACTGAGCATTGGATGGTGTGACCTAATCTATGCCGACAATATTGCAACTGGTGCATTTTTCTTGAATGTCACCATCTGATTCAGATTAACAGCTGATTTTCTGTGGCAAATAAGTACAAGTCCATTAGTTCTATTTAATTTTGGGAGTTGGGAGGGAATACACCGTGGACTATCTACACTAGTATACTGTAAACAACAAATAAATAATCTTAGAACTGCAGAGCTGGAAGGGACCCTATGGATCATCAAGCCAAGAAGGCACAGTGTGGAACTGAATTCCCAATCTCTGGCTCCGCAATCAGATGCTTAAACCACTCAATGGCACCTTGAAAATCAGCAAATCTATTAAAGCATAAGCTTTTATGGGCACTGTTTAATTCCTAGGGGTTATGTCATGATCTGTCAGCCTTCAAGATACTATGGAAATCTGCTGCTTTTGCTGCAGTGGACTACAACAATTACTCCTTTTGAAATTGTTACAGCTGTAGTCACATGGCGGGGGGATACTGCCTTTAAGACACCACATTTATTGGTTTAGAATGCTGATTTAACTGACCCCACATTTACAATACTTTCCCCCAAGTTTTAGATGAAGTAGTGAACTAGAAATATTCTGGATTTCCCACCAACAAACAAATAAAACTTATATACAGCAATCTACTCTTCAGGCACCTAAAGAATCCTTATGCCAGTTATTCTTAAACCACATACTAAGTACACAAATGTCTTGTGGCAGAAGCACTAGCCACTTTTTAAAAAAGCAATTGCTTAATCAAAAGTACAGTACTTGAAAGTCCAAAGCAACTGCACACAGAAGAGACATGGTATGCGTTACTGCTTTGGCCTGTCCTTCTGGCCATCAGAAGACATGCTTAAAACAGTTCCTCATGCAGAAACACAAAGGATGGGCTTGTCTGGAGAAGAAAAGTAGTCTTTATTTGGAGTAATTTTTGCCCTGAATGGCTTATAAAGCTGATTAACAGCTCCTTTCCATAGGTTTATATTCTTAAAGGGCACAACAGGACAGGAAAAGAGATTGGGAAGAAAAATAATTTATCCTGCTCTTTCTTACACTATAAACATACACCATTTTTCCTGCAATAATGTAAAATCTAATGTTAATTCAGACAAGTGAATGTCCCAGCTATCAGTGTTCTCCAAACACTGTCTTAGCCAGGGCTGCTCTCTGTGTAGTTCATGAAGATGGATTATAGAAAAGGGCAGCTCAAGCTCTTCTGCTCCCAGGGGTAGGAAGCCAAGTAACTATGCTAGCTGATGCAGTTTGGAGACTGGTAGTCTTAAGAAGCAAGCTCCTTTCAGCTCTAGTCAGCAATTGGGAATATGTTGCCTTCCAGATATTGCTGGACTCTAACTGCTACAACTCTGCAAAATCAGCTATGTTGACTCAGGCTGCTGGGAGCTGCAACAATACTTGGAGAGCAACTAATTCCCTTGTCCTGGAACTGGGACTTGCCTCGTTCCACAGCTGGTTGCAGCCTTCTTAACAAGAGATCCAGAACTGGGGGGTGCTCTTGGATCCGGCATTGCCCTCACCAAGTAGGCTACCATCGGCATCAGTTCCTGGGAAAAGATGACTCAGCTGATTTCACAAATATTTTGGTAACAACTCTATTAAAATTATGACAAGAAATTTTTCATTGCCTACTTCTGAAGACTATTCAGAAACTGCAATTGGTTTCGGACATGGTGGCCAAACAAATGATTGATACCTAACAGATGACATATGCCACCACTGTTGAAACATTTGCAATGGCTCTCAAGAAGCTTCTAGGCATAATTCAACATTCTGAGTTCCAACCAATGAGCCTAGCAAGTCACTCCCATATGACTGAATACCACATGTCTGAAATCTTGAAGGATTCCAGTTGATGAAGCCAAGCATACCACTATACAGAAGAATGTTTAAGTAACTAGACTGCATTAGAACCTTCGTATTTGGGGCTTTCTTCAGACTGCAGCTTTTACTGTTTGATTCTTCCAAGCAGAGATTCTTTGACAGCTATGTATTAGAAAGAAATTCAACAGGTCCAGTACCCTCATTACTGAATCACCATGGAAGTAGGAGTTCAACCATTGTGCTAATGAAGCAACTCTTAACTGTAAAGGAGAAAGCTCATGCCGAATAATGATTCACCATCCGTATGACATAGTGCTGTAAAACAATACTGTAATACGTTTATTCTAATATAAGAAGGCTTCTCTTTTTTTTAAATGGCTGGTGAGTTACTATGGAAAGTTGTATCTGTTCTTAACCCAGTCTATTTGACCTATCTTTAAGCTTCTTTCACAGATCATTCTCTTGTTTCCAGTTTTCAATCCAGTGTCTACCATGGACCAGCTACCTTGCCTCTTTTTTCTTTATTTCTTCAACACTTACATTCAGTAAGATTTCCTTCCTCAACCTAGTCCCCCAAAGTAACTGCTGTGCCTAAGAAAGGACATTTTAATTCCAGACAAAATGACCCACAAATATTTCAATAGCCAGGCTGAACTACCGCTCAGAGTGGTATAGATTTACCAGATGAGCGGGATATAAATCAAATAAATAAATAAAATAAATAAATAAATAAACTTTCTGTATATCAGAGACCTCAGCCAACTAATGTCAAAAGCCCCTGGTGCCAATATTTCACAAACCATGTTTGTCCCCTTTTTTAAAAAAATCAACTGTCTTAATCTTTGCCACCTATATGCATGTAAAAGAGCTGGTATACGTCAGTGGATGCAAATGCCTGGTTTCAGAGCGAGGGGACAGAAGTATGAACCTGTATGGGACAGGGGCCAGCAGAGGTCACCTGGAGAGTGTATAACGTAGGGTTGTGCGCCCTGAAACCCATGCATTAGGCAGAATGATCCCAAAGTGTCACTTGACGGAGGGATCTGAAAACCATTTCTGACTACTCGGAGGTAGAATAGGAAACAATCAACTTGATGACACAAAGCTATTATTTTCTACTTTATTATATGAACCTGCTCCAGAAAAAGGAAATTCAGGGGGGGGGTGAAGACTTTTGCAAATTTATCTCAATGGCATGCTTGCGTCTCTAGTTAAAAGTCTCCAACTGAAGGTGAGAAGATGAGCTACTGCCCGTCAGAGAGGAAAATACAGGGACAGATTAAGTCTAATCATAAGGTAACTCCTTGTGTTCCTTATGATTTCTTTTTAAAAAATATAGATGCAAACAAACTGGTTAAGGAGAAAGGTTCCTCTGAATAGATGCAGAAATGCGTTCCTTTCATAACTGATTTTGCCTCTCCTAACAGCTATGTACGAGACCACCATCACCCTCGCCGTCCTTATCAGGTCTACCCACCTACAAGGGCCAGGCCCGACAACTGAGTTTTCTCAGTCATGCGGCTGTGGGAAAGGAGTAGGGAAACAATTGGCTTTTCCTTTTAGACTGGCAAAGCAATCAACCACTCAGCACAAACCACCGATGCCCTACGTCCAATTAACGATCACGCCGAGAGAAGTGGGCAGGACCAAGTTTACTTTCCTCTCCCCCCCCCCCCGGTTATAGTAGGGCGGCTCCCTTCCCGTTCCGTAAAAAAGAAGGAGGTTTAACTCGGGGGGGATGAATGCGCGTATACCTTCGGTTGTGACTGTGCTCGTCCTCATTCTCACAGTCACTACAATGTTGGTGGTCATTCTCTTCTCCTGACTGCCGCCTCACTGCTGTCTCACTGTCGTCCGCCATGTTGGCAAAGGGAAAACCTGCCGGCTGTCACGCCTGCGCAGTGCCCGTAACCCATTTACGATTGGTTCCCCCAGGCGCAATGCGCTGTGGGACTTGTAGTAATCTTGTGTAGTTAAGGTGGCTTCCCTTTGGGCGGAAGCAGGCATGGGATTCTAGCACACGTGATTTTCTTGGTTAGAAGTAGGTCTATAGGCGTTTTCTGCACCGCTTAACCTATGATTCTGGGGATCTTTTCCCCCCCAGTATCTCTCCCAAGGTCCTCCTGCCTGATGATAGTCTCCCTCCGCTTAACCTATGATTCTGGGGATCTTTTTTCCCCAGTATCCTCCTGCCTTTAGATTATGTCCTCTCCACAGAGTTACGATCGCTGCCAAGGCTACACTCTTATTATGCGCTACTTGATCGTTTTAAATGGTTGATCTGTTAGCTACGCTGTTCCTAAGGTTTTGACATCTGGATTTTGTGTGTTTGTTTTGTTGTGTTTGTCCTTTGTTTTAGTATCACAACTGCACTTATTCCCTTTGCCTCTGCCTAGGGAATCTACAATGATGAGGGGTAGTGTTACCGGCCAAATCTGGATTCTTCCCTCCCTTATTTAACATCTTAAATAAGGAAATAAATATGAGGATTGAGTGCTTTGGGTACTGTCCCTCTTACTGAGAGCTGATGTTTGAAGGCCAGTAACAATTGTAAAGGTGACACAATGATTTGTCAGAAACAATCTGGAAGTAACAGTAACATAGAAATTCTTTTATTATAAACTGCCATTGTCATAATAGTAAGCAAGCTTGAAACAATGCGCCTTGTTGGTCTGAGAATATTAATTGAAATCCTTTTCCTTATTGTAATGCAAGAACAGGCACTAGACCACCAAAAAATAAAAATCAAGAATAGGCATTGGACCACTGAAGTCAAGCAAACAGTAAGCTTTAATAGATAATATTCCACTTATTCAGGTCTATATACCAATATTTGCAGATAGTACAGAAAAAAATGTAATTTTATTTTACAATTTTTTCAATATTTACAATGTTTCTGCATTTCCTTTTCCTTATTGTAATGCAAGAACAGGCACTAGACCACCAAAAAATAAAAATCAAGAATAGGCATTGGACCACTGAAGTCAAGCAAACAGTAAGCTTTAATAGATAATATTCCACTTATTCAGGTCTATATACCAATATTTGCAGATAGTACAGAAAAAATGTAATTTTATTTTATAATTTTTTCAATATTTACAATGTTTGTTTGTTTGTTTGTTTGTTTATTTATTTATTTATTTATTTATTTATTTATTTATTTATTGGTGCATAAGCCTGAAGAAGTGTAATTTTATCCATGAAAGCTTACTGTCTGGTTGATATTTTTAGTGGTCTAATAAAAGGTATCACCTACTCTTGCATTTGTTTACTTAGTAAGCTGCTACTATAGTTAGACCTATTGAATCAATGGAATTTGCAGAGGAGCTGACTCACCAAATCCCTACAGATTTAAATGGGCCTATTGTAATTGCGGGACAGATTTCACTTTCTTGGGCTCCATGATCACTGCAGATGGTGACAGCAGCCCAGAAATTAAAAGATGCCTGCTTCTTGGGAGGAAAGCAATGACAAACCTTGACCGCATCTTAAAAAGCAGAGACATCACCTTGCCGACAAAAGTCCGAAAAGTCCAAGCTATGGTTTTCCCTGTAGTGATGTACAGAAGTGAGAGCTGGACCATGAAGAAAGTTGTCTGCCGAAGAACTGATGCTTTTGAATTGTGGTGTTGGAGGAGGCTCTTGAGAGTCCCCTGGACTGCAAGGAGAACAAACCTATCCATTCTAAAGGAAATCAACCCTGAGTGCTCACTGAAAGGACAGATCCTGAAGCTGAGGCTCCAATACTTTGGCCATCTCATGAGAAGAGAAAACTCCCTGGAAAAGACGCTGATGTTAGGAAAGTGTGAAGGCAAGAGGAGAAGGGGACGACAGAGGACGAGATGGTTGGATAGTGTTATCAAAGCGACCAACATGAATTTGACCAAAGTCCGGGAGGCAGTGAAAGACAGGAGGGCCTGGCGTACTCTTGTCCATGGAGTCACAAAGAGTCGGACAGGAGCTAACGACTAAACAACAACAAATTAGGACATGACTAAACGACTAAGCAACAACAAATTGTAATTGAGACTTACATACATTGAAAGTTTTATTTCCCCCCCTTAATAGTCAAAGAAAGATATCACCAGTTTCTGCAATTGTATTGTTCTGAGGACTATACATCCTTGTCCTAATTTTTACTATAAAAAGCAACAGGATTTCAGCCATTGTCTTATTATTACTTTATGCTGTATAGTATTAGTCTTATCTCTCTAGGAGTAAGCACCACTGAAACTAGTGGGTAACTGGGTAGACACATTTAAGACTTACCTACCATAGTTAATAAGGGACGTGGTAGCACTGCGGGTTAAACCGCAGAAGCATCTGTGCTGCAAGGTCAGAAGACCTGCAGTCGTAAGATCAAATCTACGCGACGGAGTGAGCTCCCGTCGCTTGTCCCAGCTCCTGCCAACCTAGCTGTTCGAGAGCATGTAAAATGCAAGTAGATAAATAGGTGCCACCATGGTGGGAAAGTAACAGCGTTCCGTGTCTAGTTGCGCTGGCCACGTGACCAAGGAAACTGTCTACATACAAATGCTGCTCTACTGCTTGGAGACAGGGATATGCACTGCTATCCCGGCCGTGAAAGCCTTTGTGAATATGCTGGTTCTATTGCTTGGAGACTGGGATGAGCACTGCCCCCTAGAGTTGGACACGACTGGACTAAATGTCAAGGGGAACCTTTACCTTTACTTACCATAGTTAATAACTGCTCTTTCTGAGGAAGATGGCTGGAGTGCATATTGCATTGGACAATTGTAGCCAATTAAGGCAATTTAGAGTTTATTCAGTTATGAAATTGCATACAAGAACTATTGAGAATTGCACGACTCCCATTTATTCAGCCAGGCTTTGGGCTGAAGCTGTGTAGTTATGCTTTGTATACTGGTATTTGACTGTATGCCATCTTATCCATTTTTACTTGTTTTATTGGTTGCATGATTTTATTCTGTTTCATTGATACTGTTTCCTGCTTCAGAATTATTTTTATAATGAAAAGCTGTAGTAAATTTGATAAATAAATAATAAATACACGAATAACTAATGATACAATTTTCCTAGACAACTCTTAAGATTTTGAAATTATACTTGATGAGCCAATCAATTCCTGATATTGATTACAGAAAAAATAGTCCAATGTATACTTTGGTGTACATGGTTCTTTGGAAGTCAGTTCTAGTATGCTCAGTTATACCAATTGCATGGCATTAGGATTGCAGCCCAGATTGATATGCAAATTGTGTAGAAAGCAAATACAGTGTGTTTTTAATTTTCTTAAACATTGTCCACACTGAAGAACCACACAAATACAATTGTGCTTCTTCTGGAGTCATTTATTACTATCAGTAATTTATCTAATATTGGTGCAAGTCCTCTTGCTTAGCAAGGTAAATCACATTAGAGTATGCCCAATGAATCAATGTGGATCTAGTGAGTTAACTCCTCTAAGTTCCATTTATTCAAATAGGCCTAATCAAACTGATTTAAGTACGTAAATTGCAGTTAAGTTGACTCATTAAATCCCTATTGACTTAATGGGCCTGTTCTATATGGTTTTACTCTGCCAAGCAACAGAAGTTGACTCATCAAATCCTTATTGACTTAATGGGCCTGTTCTATGTGGTTTTACTCTGCCAAGCAACAAAACTTTACTACTTTGAGCATAAAGTTTTTATATTGAGTGAGACCACTGACCCATCTCTTGCCATACATTTGATACAGAGGTAGCAGTTTCCAGTCTTATTATTAAAGTTTTTTTGTAATGGCAGCAGTTCAATATAAGGTTAATGTATTTACATTGCATTTTTACACCTCCTTTCCTTCAGGGAACCGAGGGCACCATGCCGGGTTTTGCCTCTTCCCCAGTTTTCTCCTTTACAACAATCCTGTGAGGTCAAGCCATGGGATCTGGTTATCCCAAGATCACCTTGTCAGTTGAACGGCTTAGCGAGGATTTAAACGGAGGCAAGGCTACTCAAACCACCGCGCAACGGCGGCTGTTTCTCCTTTGCCAAAAGCAAAGAGAAGCAAGTGATCGTTCTCTTCTGCTCCTTAAAAAAAAAAGTTTTGCACGAAGGTGCCAAGAAGTAATTTGCACTGGACTCGCCCGCAGAACCTGTGGTTCCAAAATCAGGTGTTCTGCCCTTCGAACCGCTTTTAAGATTTTCATGTCCAAAACTCGTATTTATCTTTATGCAAAATCCTTGCCCTGCAATTTGAATCACGATGCAGTCATTTCTATCTGCTGCGATCGAGTCCCAAACCCCTTCAGGAAAATGCAGTGTCTCTACAGCTTTCAGCGGAGAGCTGCTTTAAAGGGACCTTGACATCCCCGCCACCAGTTCCCCCGCCCTCTCTTGTACTCCCATTCATTTTCTCTCGCGGTCGCGACTTCCGCCGATATTACTTAATTTTATCATTTTGGCTTCAGGCATGGAGAAGCAATTTCCCGCTTGGGCAGCCGCGATTGGATAGATTTCTCCGCATGACCCCTCTTTGCCAATAGGAAGTCAGAAAAGTTAGGCGCGAGTGAAGCTCACAAGAGAGGCTCTGTCGCTCAACGTTTCGAGGCGGAACAAGCGGGTAGGTGACCGTCGGAACGTTCTCTGTATCCGGAGACGCAGCACTAGCTGGTCTCAACGCGTGTGTTATTTGTGGCGTAGAATATATATCGGGATGATCTTGCTTTAGTTCCAGATTTCTCTTCTGGTGAGCTGGGTCCAAGCTTCTGAGCACGTGCAGAGTTCCATCCCGCCAAACATTCGGATCCATCATTTTAGTAAGAGAAAGGGGCTCTTGGTTAGAATGGCAAAGTTGACCTTTCCAAAATTAAGGAGCAAGTCTGTGGCATGAGCTCTGCATTGGTGGCAAAGGAAAATACGATGTATGTTTATTTTTCAGGTTTGTGTACATCAGTCTTTTTTTGGGGGGTTTAAGGAGCCCATTTAACATTTCATGAATTTTAGCTATGTTAGCCTTTTCCATCAGAAACATTAGAGCACATTTATTTTGGCATGGATTTTTGTGATAAAAGCTCACTACCTTCAGAGGCAGGGGATATAGTTTAGAGCAGGTGTGGGGAACTTTTGAGGGTCATTTAACAAGAAAGAAGGAGTTTGCTACAAAAAAAGGCCTGGTGGAGGGTTACATAAGAATGACACATCATGCAATGTTTGAGGTCTGTTTGCAAAGTCACATGTGGGCTGCACTTTGCCCACCCTTGGTTAAGAGGCATTCATTCTTTTTCTATCACTCATGCTCTCATTGCATATAATGGAGGATGTTGATTTAGGGTCAGAGTGAATTCAAGTGGTGAAAGTGCAGGCATGACAATTCAATAATTAACATTAGCCATTCACAAAACGGTTGATGGTAACAAAGGCATCCTGCCAATAGATTAGACAGTGTGACACGTGTTATTTGTGGGTAGTATAATCCACACATGCCCTTCCCCCCCTCCCCAAAGTAAAAACCAATAAAAAGTAATTTGTGTAACAATTTCAAAAGCAACAGAACATTTTCCTTAATAGATATATTTTGGACTATGAAGTGCCTGAGATATGATGCTGGATCATACTGTAAAACCAGTTTATAAGGGTTCTGTGAAAGTCTGCTTGAAAAACACTGAGGTACTACTTCATAGCCAAACCTGAGAGTACTTCAGGTGAATCTGACATGCTTAGTAGATATAGTAAGTACAATATAATAATAAAAAATAGTTTACAATCATTTTAGGGGTTTATCCTGTAGCACAGTTGTCACGCAAATGCCATTTCTATGCTGAAGGCCCTGATAGGATTTGGGAGCTCTAAAGCCATTTCTGCCTTTGGCAGTAAAAATCAGATGTGATGTCAAAAACTGTTTTATCACCAGGGTAACTAACTGCTGGGAAGGTGGGCCTCCTAATATCGGAGAAAGGACTTGAGGCAAATGTTTGAATCCCACTTCCCCAGTGCTGTAGCCCTAATGAGTTTGAAGGGTTCTATTGCTGTTTACATATTGGCAGAGGTGTCTTTGGCAAAGGAATCCAGTCATGGACTTCTCAATATCATATGTAGTTATGGTATATTTTAAAACTTCAAACAATAAGTCTTTTCTTGAGTCCAAGACACCATAGATTTGAGATGTGTGCACATACCCAATAATTATAATTTTACTCTTAGATTTTTTTTATTTTCCAAATATAAACATTTTGCTCTCAAGGAAGAGAGCTAGCATTTTGCCTTTTTTATCAAGGAATTAGTTCTTTGGCTACACAATTTCAAAAATGTGCAAGTTTCCTTTTGCTCTCTCTGTGTGTCTGTGTTTCTAACATCTGCATTTAAATGAGAAGAGTACATGGCATTGAAGAGAGTGAGAGCAGAGTAATGTCTAAATTATTTTTTTTAAAGTTACTAATTGGCTCAAGCTGAATTTTATTTGTTGTTGGTTAATAGTCATATCTTTTTCCAGGGCAGAATGTTTTTGGTGGGATTGACAGGTGGCGTTGCATCAGGAAAAAGCACCGTGGTGGCCATGTTGCGGGAACTGGGCTGTGCTGTTATTGATGCTGATGTTATAGCCCGTCAAGGTGATTTCTTTTCCTAAAAACACAGCCACACTGCGCTGTTGTAAGAGTGAAGAGAAGATGGATGGAGCAAAGAGGGAACTCCATTATTTGCCTCAGGAGTGATCAGAAGATGACCTATGGTTCTGCAAGGGCCACCTCCTCAAATTAGCAGATCTCACATAATCTACAAAGGAGGCAACATTGGCTGCTTCTTGTTGTTGAATGCTATTTCTTAATTGTGGTGTTTCCATATACTCACTGATCGTAGGAGGTACCCTGGAGAAGACCTATACTCTCAATAAGTGTGCTTGTGTGGTTTTGCCACCATGCGAATAGGAGCTTTGGGGGAAAGGGTAGCAATTTAAATTGGAGGATAGCTTTGGGGATAAAAATATATCCATTCCCAGAATACTGAAAGCTGTGATGGTGAACCTTTTTGAGCCCAAGTGCCCAAACTGTAACACAGAATCAACTTATTTATTTCACAGTGCCTACACTGCAATTAAAACCCGAATACTGAAGTTTTTGTTTAGAAAAAAAACAGCTGCTCCTGCACTGCAAGGTTTAAATGCTTGTGGGTTTTTTTAGCTGTGGGCGGTATTAACAAAGAAATACTTACCGGTCCTCCAATCCCCCATTAGGTAATGGTAATGGTCACCATTGCACCCCTCCACTGGACCACTGCACCAGCAGAGGGGCATGCCAAAATCTGGGATCAGAGGACAAGCAAGTATTTCTCGATGGCGACTTAATGGCTCGCGTGCCCACAGGGAGGGCTCTGTGTGCCAGCTGTGGCACACATCCCATAGGTTCGCCATCGCTGCATCGTTTCCAGCATGGTGAATATTGCTGCTCTGCTTTGCTTGTGGGCTCCCAAAGGAATCTGGCTATCCACTGGAAGACAGCATGCTGACCTAGATTTGCCCTTGGCCTGATCCAACAGAACAGTTTTAGCCAGTAATCTGTGGATTGATGCTGAAACAAGAGCAACAGTGTGATTTGGGAGAGCTAACATGTCTTTTTTTAAATGACTGTTTTTTTTTTTCTTCGACACCACGTTCCTTGCAGTGGTAGAGCTTCACCATATTACTCCAAAACAATAACTGGAAGTGGCCAGAGGTCCACCTCTGGTTTTGTAAAGCCATTCTGAGTTTTAAAAGAAAATAAAATGCTTCTGGAGGCCTTTTTTGTATGAAAGGGCTTGTGTGGCAGGGGAAATGTTCAGGAGGGTTCTAGGAGCCTATGAAATGTGTCCATCTGAAGAAGCTCACAAATGACATGTTTTACTAGATCAGTGTCTAGAGGTGTTTTCATATTCGTTTTCTTTCTGTAGTGGTCCAGCCATGCTTCCAGGCATACCAGCGCATTGTGCATTCCTTTGGCCCCGAAATTCTCCTGGAAAATGGCGAGATCAACCGCGAAGCCCTAGGAAGCATCATTTTCTCTCAGCCAGAGAAACGTCAGTTGTTAAATTCCATCACTCACCCTGAGATCCAGAGAGAGATGCTAAAACAGATCTTGAAATACTTTGTGCTGGGTAAGCTGCTGCTTGGGCTGATTTCACTGTGCATTCCCCTTGAGGCACCCGTTTGTGTTGACAAAAGCTATGACATCTCTCTTTGCCCTGTGTTTAGTTTAGTTCCTTTGCTGGCTGGAGAAGACGGGCTGGAAAAGGCATCTTTGCCTGCTTACTTGTGCTCGTGCAATCGTTGCTTACATCTTGAGTATTCTCCCTTCTTTATGCTTGCCCTTTGCATTTTTACTCCTTTAATGTGGTGTTGAAGAGCATACACCAAAGAGTCTTTGGGAAGCATTGTGCATAATGTCATGCCTTCTGAAATGCTCACATGGCCTCTCTGCATACACACCCCCTGTACTCGCCCTGGTGCTCTTAGAAATGCTTTCTTTTCAACTCGATAAGGTAAAATAATGGTTTGACAGCTGGGATTTCTGCAGCTTCTTTCTATTTCTTCCCTTTCATTCTTCCAATAAAACTGTAACAAATACAGCTGTCAAACCTGTCTCATCAAATGGCTGATAATATCACCGGCTGCTTTCAGGGCAGAACAGAAGAATGTCCTTATTAGAAGGAGTTCAGACCTACTGAGGACAGCAGGGATGATAGGGAGATGGTGAAGGTCTGCTCGTCGTTTTTTTTAAAGGAAGTGTAAATGCAACAGAATAGGGGATGAGAAGGAAAAACCTGTGGGGGAAAGATAAAAACAGTCTTATTGTCTATCTTCTGCTCTCTACAGTTCAAAGGAACTCTCCCCGCCAAAGAAAATGAAGCAAATTAAATCTGCTTTGAGTAAATCATCTCTAAGGATTCAAGTCAGTAGTTGTATAAATACAATGTTTGTATGCCTGCTGCCTTACAGAGAGTTTCTTAAAAAAATAAATAAGTCCCTAGTCCGGAGGGGAGCAATAGTAAGGGAGCAGGTGAGCAAGTGCAGTTACTCATACAGTACTTAAGCTTAATTATAAAGATTAGAGGAACAAAGGATAAGCCAGAAGCCTGTGAAGAGGATGACTTCTGAGGATGGGTTTGAATAAAGGGAGAGTCATGTTCAAGGCAGGCGTTTCCTGCATATGGGGCAGGAAAATGGGCAGAGCTGTTTTGGAGAACACGAGAGGGGCGGAGGGTGGTGGAGCCAGGATATTAGAGGCCGAAAGTTAGGGTTGGATTTAGCAAGGATTTCAGTTACTTTTTGCAACTGCATTTGGCATTTAATTTGTCTCCCATGCTTCTTCTAAGAATCTGGCTTTTGGGAGAAGCATTTACAACATACACAACTAGACTCCCAAAATATGCTTTAGATGTGAAATGTTTGCCTTTTGCTTTTTGAATTACACACCCTAATTCAGGAAACTTCCCACCACTTCAGAAGCAGTTTGCAACAGAGGGGTAAGTGTAGTTTCTAGATGACATGTAGGTCTTGGGCTAAATTCAGTGCTCTAGAATCTTCCAGTGTAGTGATTCCCAACCTTACGTACCCGTACCTCCAGAAATATTAACCAAAACATTTAGGGGTATGCAAAATAGAAAGTTGAATAATGCCAGAAAAAGACACATATGTCAACCGTTTAAGACAGGAGACAATTAATAAATGAATGTTATGACAAGTGGTGAAGTGGGTTTTCTTTGTTATTTAACCTCAAGAAAAGCCCTTTCCCCTCACATTGTTATTTTGGTGAGTGGTTAGGTGTCCCTCCCTAAACAGTGTGCTGTGAACATGCCATTACAGTGCAGATGCTTGACGGTGCACCCCTCACAGCCTCAGCTTTCATTCTCTCTGCTTTGCAAACATTTGAGTATTGTCATGCCAATATTGGTGTACAGTGGTACCTCCCAAGACGACAACCCCACTAAACAACGAATCCGCATAACGATGGTGTTTTGTGATCACTATAGCGATTAGCAAAACAGTCATTCCAATGGGGGATTTTCGCTGGACGTCGATTAGGTCCGTGCTTCGCGAACCGTTTGTTCGCAAGATGACGATTTTTTCGCCTCCGCAAAATGGCTGCCCTGTGTTTTCCGGATCCATGCTTTGCAGGGCAGCCATTTTTACAGCTGATCGGCGCTCACAAAATGGGTTCCCTATGGGCAATCTTCGCTGGACATGGAGGTATTTTCCCCATTGGAACACATTAAACCAGGTTTCAGGTGAACCAGGTGAACTCAGTCATATTCATTACAAACATTTTGCTAATATAAAGGGCACAATTTACAGAAATGGGCTGCCAGGGGTTATACAAGTGAAAAAAGGTTGGGAACCACTGTACTAGTGGAATGAAATTATGAAGGCTCTTCATTCATGTACTTCTGCATACTTTGTGCAAGACTCTCTATGCAACTGCAGGGGGTGGGGTAGGGATTAATGTTTTGGAATTTTCAGTAGTAAATTCATTTTTGTTTCTCCAGGCTACCGATATGTGATCCTGGATATTCCCCTCCTCTTTGAAACTAACAGATTGACCAGGATCATGAAACATACAGTTCTTGTTTACTGGTAAGGACATTGATGAGGACAGTTTAGTTTGTTATTAAATGCTATCAGACCCTGTGTTAGTAAAGCAAAGGCCATTGGATGACCACCAGAATAGGTGCCTTCTAAATGAACATAGGAATGCTTTGTTTTTCCAGATGGCCATTAGAATGCATTAAGTCCACTGTGATGGATTAAAATGCTGTGTAAAAGTACTTTGCTTTTCAACTGAATTTGTAAGTGCAGTAGGACCTCCTTATCAATGAGATCAGTATCCACTAATTCACTTATCCACAGTCTGAAAATATTAAAAATAATAAAAGAAAAATCCCAAAAATATGTATTTCTAACAGTGAAGTTACCAGAACTGGCCATTTGAGAGAGCCAGAGACTATGGTGAGTGTAGTGTTCACTATTGCAATAGTATTAGCTATAATCCTGTTTTTCAGCATCTGTGGTGAGGCTTGGAACTGATCTCCAGATACGGGGGTTCCTGCTGTACTGTATCACAAATCATGACACAATGTGTTTGTTGTTGGGGCACAACACAAGAAGCATTGTTATTTTTTAAAAGTTTACATGACTACTGGTAACATTACTTTTTCAGTATGTAAGTTTACTTGTGACATCTAAAATGTGTGGGGAAAAGTTTGGGACATTTTTTTGAAAATGGAAAAAAAATTAGCAGCCTTGCTGAGGAGCTGCTTTTAAAGTACCAAGCTACTTTTAAAAGAATGCTCTATTCTTGAAGTAATAGCAGCCATACTAAAAAGTCCAGGGTCTGGCTTTTAGGGGCAGTAGCCTTCAGGGTGGTATTGCTGTTGAAAGGCATCATGTCCCCAAACCTGCAAGCCTCCAAATAAAGTTGGGCAAAAGGTGGAAGGCATTCCAAGCCACCATTGAAATGGATGCTCCTTCTGCATCCTGATCTACAGAATCCAGCCGTATCAGCCAGCAATACGGTTGTTTGGCTTCAGACAAGGCACAGTCTTGCCAGCTGACCTTCTGTGTCAGTGCAGTACTGTAAGGCTTTGTTCTTTAAGGCGCACCAGTCTGGTGCTAGGCTCCCAGTCTGTTCCGATGAATTTCAGTGACTATTCTGTTTGGAAAGGCTAGACCTGCCTGTTTGGGTGCTGCTCTTTAACCAGTTTTAATGCCCATTTGGAAAGTTCCTTTAAAATTCAGCCATTTAAAAGGAAGGGTGTTCTCCAGTAGCCCATAATTTTCTATGTCGCTGTCCTTTTCTCTGTCTTTATGGCTGGTTCTTGGTTTTTACCAGTTTGGATTCTGGTGAGTTCTGGTTGAAGTCTCAAGCCATGCACCTTCCTCTTTCCCCCTTCAGGTACCTCCCGCTGGTCCAAGATCCATCGTGCTTTGGCAGTGTCAGGTTGTGCCAAAGGAGGAACACATCTTTCCTCACCAAGCACAACCTGTCCTGTCCTTTCAAGTCTTGATGACCTCTCAGGGAGCCAGGCACAATGTCAGTGGCAAGAGCACCACCACTAGATTAGTCAACATTCAACAGTAAATTTATGGACCATCATGGGCGATGGAGGTCACACTAATGGAAATCCAGTGTGGTCAGTGGGTTTTTAATAACAGTATAAAGATCTGTGGCTTTGGGATACAGATCCTAGAATTCTTCAGACATGCGTAGCTTTAATTTGTATGCCCCTGAATATATGCAAAGACTCCCACTGGGCAAGAAGATAAAGCTGTTGTCTGCTCCTGACATTTTCTGGGTTGGAAAGAGTCCGCTGAGCTTCTTTCCTAGCCTTGCTTGCTGATTGCGCTCAGTGTTCTTTATCCAACAAAACTCAGTTGTAGCTTTGACAGCTGAATTGGTCCTTTTGGCATAGCCCTCTCTAATCCACGTATGCCAACTATAGGGCTCCAGTTGTTGCCGGATTCCAACTCCCACCAGTCAGGCATCCTAACCTATGATGCAGGATGCCGAGGGTTTGTATCCAACAATATGTTAAGGTCCCCAGTCTCCCACCTATGGCCTATATAAGTCTAGCCAGCATTGCATTTCTTAATCAAGGTAGAGAGCAAGAATGCAGGCTGAAGTTTGTAACTGCATGGCTGGATTTCCTGCTTGTAAAATCATTGAAAGCATATTGACTTTCCTCCTGAACTGAGTTCTTTCCTTCTCCTGCCAGTGACCCACAATCCCAACTGTCCCGTCTGATGCGTAGGAACCGATTGACTCAGGCAGAGGCCGAAGCGCGCATTGCTGCCCAGCTGCCCCTTGCCCAGAAGGTCAAGCTGGCCAACCACGTCATTGACAACTCAGGTGACACGGAAGCCACAAGGAGGCAGGTCCTCAAGCTGCATGCATCACTAGAAGATTCCCTGGACTTCCTTTGGGTGCGTCTGTTGGCTGTTGCCGCAACGGCTGGGTTTGGCAGCCTGGTGTATTTTCTGCTGCGGCAATTTGTATCTTAATTTGACCTTTCTGTGCTAGAAAGGGCAATAGGACCCAACTCTATAAGTAGTTTTGCCATCTGAATGTAGATGACTAAACCAGGCCAGAGTCTGCTTTCCAAAAAAAATGTTCAATTTCTTCCTCTTCAGATCTTAGCAAAAGGAAGGAAGTACCATTCAAGTCCCTTCAAAATGGTTCTTGGCTTCTTTCCTTCTAATATTCTCACAAATAATTAATCACAGTTAAGGAGGGAACACAGGCAGGGCCATTTTTGCTCTGGCAGGTTTGGGGCTGGGGGAGTCAGTTGTGCACAACAAGTGTGAAAACATAATTCTTGTGTTAATGCTTGGCTTGGTAGCATACCCACAACAACACTGGTCTTTAGGAAAAATCTTGTGCCCTATCCCCCAAAAGATGGGTACACACTGTTACTGACCAGATTTTGGAGAGGTTTATGTTTGCTGAGTTGTCAGGAGTATGGTAAATATCAGATATAATTGATCCAGAAATCAATGGGTGTGAATTCAACCAAATGTTCTCTATACAGATATAACAAGGAAAGTAACTTCTTGCACTGTCCAGACCAGAGAAATAGGCTGTTTATAGGTTTTGAAGGGCTTGATTTGTTACTGCATTTCATTTAACATCTTTTTATTGAAATGGCTTATACAGCCTGAGTGATATACTACACGACAGTTTTAAAATAGATCATTAAGAGTGGAAGGTGCAGATTTTTGTCTCTATTTCTGACTTCTCTCCAAAATGATTGGGGGGGGGGAATGAGAGCATTATGGATGTCCACGGAGTCTCCAAGCATCCTGCATTCAATGAGTTTCCCTCATGTAGTTTTGTCTACTGAGAAAATCCCATGACTGTGTCACAGAATCCTCGAGTCAATCTGGGGGATTCAGAGGAGCATTCCAGAATGCAGGAGAGATGAGTGCTTTAGAGAAATGGGGCACTGCCCCATCCCACGCAACCCTCGGCCGACCCACCCTTGACCTGCCTCCTTTACTGAGGCGGAGAGACAGGACTTTGCCTGTATTCTGTTTCCATTGAATTTCCAGCCTGGTCAGCCTTGGTCAGTTGTAGTGTGAAAATGCCCAAATTAAATCTACTGGCTAGCTTTGAAACCAGGCAGGAACATTTTCAGTTTTCTTCCCCCCTCCCCCGCACATTTTTCTGCACAGCTGAGTTGCAAATGAGAGGGCTGAGGGAGTAGCTCAATAAATTTATTTATTTGATTTATTTATTTGATTTTTTATTCCACTCATCTAACCCAGTGGCTACTCTGGGCAGTAAATATGAATAATAGCATAAGAAAAACATGACACAATCAGTGGCAATGGAACACATTAAATTGCATACTAAAACAAGTCATTTAGAACCTGTAGACCATTATTAAGAAAAAATTAAAAGGTAAGATTAATTTATTAATAGATGAAAGGCTAATGCACTTAGGTTTTAATTTGGTGCATTCTGAAAGGCCTGGCAAAAGAGTGGTTTCAAGAGCTTTTTAAAGGACATCAGGGAGAGGGCAAAGCAGATTTCAGATGGTAAATCATTCCAAAGTCAGGGTGTGACCTCAGAGAAGGCCCGTTTCCTTGTTCTCTCTTTCTGGACCTCCCTCAGGGTCAGCAGCTTCAGCCAGCCAGCCTGTGAAGTGCATGTAGGACACATAGTCCCTGTTGGGAGTAGGCATTCTGCCATGTATTGAGCATTTAAACCGGACACATAGTCCCTGTTGGGAGTAGGCATTGTGCCATGTATTGAGCATTTAAACCATTTAGGGCTTTATAGGGCAATACCATCACCTTAAAGGCGATGCAGTAACGGAGAGGTAGCCAGTGCAGCTCAGCCAGAGTTGGGGAAATATGGTGGCGTTTATTTATTCCTTTCACCAGTCTGGACGCTGTATTCTGGACTTGTTGAAGCTTCCACATCAGCCTGTGGGGCAGCCCCATGTAAAGTGAATTGCATGGGGCTGAGATGACCAGTATATGAACCAATGTGGTGAGGGACTTGGTGTCAAGGAAGAGATGCAGTTGTGCAGTGTGTCTGAGATGGAAATAGGCAGATTAGGTCATAGATGCGATCTGAGATTCACAGATGCTATCAGCGGCGACGGGGGGAACCTCCAGATCCCTTATGGCTTCTCCGCTACCCTGGAAGGCATGCGGAGGTCCCCCACCACCGCCGCCACTGCTGCTGGGACCCTTCCAATGTCTCAAAGGGCTTTCCCCCCAACATTGGAGGAAGCCCTTTGGGAGCTCCGAAGGCAAAAAGGCAGGGAGAAAGGGCTGGAAATTTGAATTTCTCGCCCTTTCTCCCTGCCTTTTTGCGTTTGGAGCTTTCCGCCCGACATCGGAGGAAGGCAGATTAGGTCACAGATGCTATCAGTTTGATCTACTGATAATCTGGGAGTCTAGGCTATGGCAGATGGCATCTACTTTTTTTAAAAAAAATGCCACAAACTGGTCACAAATGATAGAGGGAGGCCTGTCACCATGACCAATGGTGGATAAGTCACACACTATTTGAAATAGTTCTGTCAGATTGTTTGGGGCCTCACTTATCTGGGCAGTGTAGAATGTTCTGAAGCTGTTTTTATAGCTCTTAACTAGGCCCTGGATGCTGCTTGTGCAGCTATTAAATTGGACTCTGAGGGTGCTTGTCTCTAAATATACTCTAGCCTTCTCCTACATGGCTTAATTGCCCATAACTCCCATATGCTATGGGGCAGGAAAGGCTTGGCATTGGAGAGGGCATTTGGGAGGGACTGTATCAGCTACCTGAGTCGCCTCAGTATACCACCTGGTGACTTGGGCTTCGACAGGAGCACCAAGCAGGTCAGCTGGTATCACTCCCATGACATCCTGGAATCTAATCGGATCCAGTAGTCTGTGAGGGCGGGCCATCTTAATGGGTCCTGTCTCCCTGCAGGAAGGGAGAGGATTGAGTGACTGAATTTTATCAGGTGGTCGTCTAACCATGAGAAGGGATCAGACGCAAGATCTGTAACTCCCAGGCCACTCTCTCCCCTTGCCCTGTCAAAGACACCAGATCTAGAGTATGGCTTACCACATGTGTGGGGCATGTTGATATGTTGGGACATGTCCAAGGAAGCCATGATTTCCAAGAACTCAAGAGCCGGCCCAATAATCTCTGCCTCAGCATGGATGTTGGTCACCCAGGAAAAGGAGCCTGGGAGACCTCAACAGCCCAGCTGTCTGTGAGCTCCAGAAGGGAGAATGCTGGCTAGCAGGGAGCGTGGTAAGCCAACACAATCCCAAGTCCATCCCTAGCCCCCAATGACACATGGAGGGCCTCCAGGGCCGGGATCAACAGGTCAGAGTTTTACAGTCTCAACTGTGTTTTTGTAGTTAATGGCCACTGTCTCCCAGTCTACCCTGGTGTTGGATGGCATTACCAAGTAGGCACATTAGTGAAAGTGCCACACCACCTTCCGCACTCACCCATGTTTCAGCAATACATGCCAGGTCCACTCTTTCATCCAGGATTTAATCATGTATAAGTTGGGCTTTATTTTGGGCAGATGTGGCATTAAGCAACAACAGAGATAGAATGGAGGATTGGCTGAGCGGGCTACCTCATATAAGGCAGTTGACAAGAGAGCTAGAATCGGGCAAGCAGTTAGACATCTGGCAATGTTTAATGGTCTGGTAGTGTAGCTGTATAGTTGATTGATTGCCTGCATGTCTCTTCTCCCAGTCCACCTAGGTTCTCTGTGCAGTATATTTAGCACAAGGGTTTTCAAGCAGATCTTGAGAACCATCCTGAAAAAGTCTAGGTTGTTAGCTAGCAAATTCCAAACTCATTGAACTGGACTGAGACCAAATGGTGGCGGGGGCATATTTATTTAATAGGAAGGTGAAAACTGCCCAATCAATCATTATGTTAGACTGCACAGGGAAGCCATTGAAATCCACAAACACCAGCAGAGCTTCAACAAAAAAGAAGAAAGTCTACAACTCAACAAAGCCTGGCTCCCAGCACTAAAAAATACAGCCTGCAAAAGGTCAACGAACTCTACCCAGCCACAAGGACCAGTGATCACTGCACACAAAAGACCAGCTAACAACACCCATCAATCACAGTGACAGATAATCTCTCTCCCTTATCACAACAGTGCACCCACAACAAAAAATACACTGATCACTACAATTACCCATCTCCTGAAAAGCACAAAAGGTGATCCCAAAGCTATAAATATCAACTATCCAAACAAACTGCACCAGAGCACAGACAGAGTTCTGACTCCTGTCCTCTAAAGATGCCGGCCACAGAAACTGGTGAAACTTTAGAAAGAACAACCTTCAGAACACGGCCAAAGAACCAGAAAAGCCCACAACAACCAGCTGTCCACGTACTTTTCCTCCAACTTCTTTTTTTTTAAAAAATATTATGACATGTGAAATGCATTTGGATAATTGTGGAAAACCAGACTGAACCAGGAGCAATTTGTGCAATGCTGAGGCAACTGTGAGGAACAATGAGGAAGAAACTGCTGTTCAAAAACTGCTCGGGGAGAGAGAGTACCATGTAATGGATTCACTGTATCTCATACAAAATTAATAGAGTTAAAAAGATGGTCATCAGTTTGAATTGTGGAAAGGGGAAATCAAAACTAATGCAGCAGTGAGCTGCTGGCACTAAAGGAGAGGGTGAGTGACAGGTGCAAAACCCACCTACCACTAAAACCAAAGATCCTGGGCATTCCAACTGCTGAGGCTCTGAGGAGGGCTCAGATTGCGATCACCTCACTATGTATATAGTATATCAGTGTTCTCCAACCTTTTTCTTAGTGCCGACCGGCGGAGTCTCAGGGAGGTGGGTGGCCCTTCGCACTTGCCCTCTCCGACACACGCGCGCAGTGGTTGGGGAGCGCACGCATCAGGAGCGCCTGTCCACCTGCTAATGTGGCCCAGGGAAGGTGAAAGTTTGGACACCCCTGCTGTAATGGGTTCACTGTATCTCATACAAAATTAATAGAGTTAAAAAGATGGTCATCAGTTTGAATTGTGGAAAGGGGAAATCAAAACTAATGCAGCAGTGAGCTGCTGGCACTAAAGGAGAGGGTGAGTGACAGGTGCAAAACCCACCTAC